CAAGGAGAATTACGCATATCGAGAACTGGTCTTAATGGTGTCCCAGCTTTCGGTACGCCATATAGTCTGGGGATGTATGTCCCAATTGATTTTAGTTCTTCATAATCAGATATGTAATTTTGATCTTTCAGCGTTTTAAGGAAATTGGTCAGTTGTCCTTCGGCTGCTATTGACATATCTTTCCCTTTTTTATCCTTCGTGAACTTGGTACTGTCGTTCAGAATTGTCGTCATTTTGTCTATGTAATCTTTACGGTCTAATAGTACCACTTTATAAGTTAAACTGTGAAATCGATCGATTTTTAACATACTGGAGCGTTCTCCAATTCAAACACAAGGTTGTTGAACGCGACGACGGACAGACAGACACGCACACCTGTATGTGTCTGTGCATATGTCTGTGTCCGTTATGTTCATAGCGCTGTATCACACCTCGAGATACAAACACAAAATTGAGTTCACGTGATGAAACTAGGCGAGCAGGATTTTACGTCCAAAATTTGATGCAGTTAGTTTAAAACAGGACAACCGAAATGGCTGGGCGTACAAAAAATCAGCTCGGAAAAATGGTTTGTTATCCTGTATCCACAAGATGGACGAAGTGAAACAGTTGTTGTCCGGACGTGTGCCTGTGAGTACCCGGGTCAGTTGGATCAATGTATTCGCAATGATCAGGGGGTGGACTGGGAAAATGGTAGGTGTAGAGCTTTGCAGTTCACGTTCCCTTCATTCTTTTTTCGTCGAAAACTAGTGTAGACTATATCAATAAAACGATAATCATGCGTACTTTACATAGAGCATATTTCTTACCTAAAAGCACAGAGTGGTGGAAATGAATATACATTTTTATTTAAAATCATCACATGCATCGATTTGTGCACCATGAATCAAATGTTTACTGAATAATAAGGTCAGCTATATGAATATCACTTTTTCTCGAATTCAATAGAATAAATCATATGCAAAGTTGAACATAGAACTGAATGGTTTTATTGAAGCAAATAGGAACATCTCAGTTAAGTGAACTGGAGAAACAGGACCGGTTCACATCACCAACAGTCCATGCGTCATGTGATATCGCTGCGGTGAGAATTGCACTGCAGGCTCACAGCCATCGAATACCCGTGAATAACAGCGGTGTGACATATCTGCTGTTCGTGAACCCTATTGCCTAAGTAAAATAATGTTCATACAATGACTTTATCCTATGCCCACCTTTGATGATGGCAGCAAAGAAGAAGATTGTGTAAGAAGATCATAACAACTGAGAAAACCATAGCAATAAAGATTGATGAACGTTGTGCAGGCAATGTAATCCGGTTCAAACATAGCTCTTCCCCTAGTCATAAAAGTGATTGATCTGAATTGTTATGTGAAATCGTTTTCACTTTCCTTTTGTCCTAATCTTTTTTTATCTTCTATTCTCACAATTTCCCATCTACCTCATTCATTATTCAGTAAAACTTTTCATATTCTGCCCAGTTTACTCTTTTTTTGAATCCTCCTATCCACACACACATGGATTTAACACCAGCTTAGTCCCTGCATTATTCTATTAACTAATCGAGCTATATATATATATATATATATATATATATATATGAATGCATGGAGCAATATCACACGTTTCCGTTTTGTTCTCACTTCGTCACCTTCATCAGCTTAGTGTAAGATCGATTAGGTTGAACTTTGTATTTTTTAGACATTTTACACTACAGCATATCGATCGGGCAATCAATCACAAGCCTTCCCAAGCTGAACTAAATTATTCAGTATTTCAAACGAAAACTGTGTGCATGCTGATTATTTCGTATATATAGTTCAAACAACGTATGTTTGAAGGGGATTGTTTTTTGATATTTTTCTAGGATTGATTTCGCCTCGTGCAAACCGTTTGAAAACTATGAACTGGAATCCCAGCCCGATGAAGGGG